TGGCAGGGGGGTTGGTACTGGTTGAGCTTTAAGGTCCCTTCCAACCCAAACCGTTCTATGATTCTATGATTCTGTGACCCCCAGCCATGGCCGCTTTGAAAGCCCCAGTATGCAGCTCAAGAGACCCAAGGTTGGTCCGATTTTGATCTTCTTGACAGCCAAATGTTTTGATTTGTTTGGTCGTCCCCCCCCGTCTTTCCTCCGCCTTCCCATCCACAAAGACATCCGGCCATTAGACTGACCACGCTGCTTTCCTCATCCTGAAGTGAACTGGGGACTGATGGACGCATGGATGGGTGGATGGATGTTCAAGCATCCCCAGACTGACCATGAATTTAGACAAGATGCAAAAGGCAGCTTTGCCCTCCGGTGCTGGATGATGGCTCAGGCCAGGCTCAGCAGACAACTTTGTAGGACTGGAAACTGAAAAAGGCGTTGAAAGCACGATAGGAGATAACTTCTCCCCATGGGGTCCCACTGATGCCCTCCAGACACAGCTCAGGGGCCAAACGTGCCAGGGTTTGGATGATTACTCCTGTGAACGTGTATGTGCACAGCTGGCAACATGGTGTGAATTTTGCTCTGCCAAGGAAGGGACTGAGCAGATGGTTGGAAGAGACTCTGCGTAAGGAGCATTTATTAGCACCGTTGGCTTGTGCAAACTGGAACAGCAGCCTCATCTTTCCAATGTGTTGGATAAATCTTTCTGGATTTATTTCCTGCTCTCCTGCATCAAATGAGTCTCCAGGCCTCCAGAGGAGAAGTCCCAGAGCCCCTGGGAACCCAGATGTGGGATACACCTTGTGTAAGGGAAGGGAGAGCAAATCCTGCGGGCAGAGCTGAAGCTTAGAAAGGGAGAGGAGACTTGTCTGAAAGAGAGAGAAAAAGTGGGTACGTGTGTAGGTGTGAGAGAGAGAGAGGAGAGTGGAGGCAAATTAGATTTCTTTCTTTTATTTTACAGGATTGTATGTACAAGGTCACCTTTCTCCCAAACATCAGCATCACAGTCAGTTCATCACAAAAAAAAAACCCAACCCAAACCCTGCAGCTCATCTCTCCAAGCCTAGAAAACAGCTCAACAGGCTCAGAACAACACAGTGCAGAAATCGCACAGGAACCGGGGACAGGCAGGGGAAAGCACGGTTCTCCCTTGAATCCCTCAGCAATTAGTGGAAACTAAGAGATGCAAATAAAACATTGTGCTTCAAGAGCCATGCTTGCTCCAGGCCGGCCCTCTAGGGAGGGAAGCGCTGCCCCCTGGGACCTGTTTTCTCCTTCACCCTTCAAAGAGAGATGCTGTAGATGAGGTCTGGCTTTGAGCACTGGAGCAGAAAGCAGGAGTTCTCTTTCAGAGCACTCTATGCGACCTGGGGTGGGGGGGCACATGTTTTCTGGGAGGGTCTGACCAAGGAGAAGGTGTGAACACCATTCTGGATTTAAAGCACTGATGGGTGTGTGTGTGTTTTAGAGGGGAAGAGGGGAGACGGGCAGGACACATCTGATCTGAATAAAGTGCTGCATGAGGTTCAGTGCCATCTACCCCTGGACTCAGAAAAACTGGATAAGCCCATGGAGGAGGAGAACAAGAAGAGAAAGGCCGAGAGACCTCTGCTCGCAGGACGTGCCATGGGTCAAAAGCAGCTTGAATTTAGGTAGGCAGGGGAGGTGCTTGCACGCCCACATGCATCGTGCTCGGGGTATTCACTGTCACCGGACTCACTGGGCTCAGGCAAGTTGTCCACTGTGCAGACCCATCAGACTGGTGCTGGAGGACCAGGAACAGGAGCTGCCACGCTGTCACTCTCCTGACGTGCCAGGTCGGTGTGAAGACCCAGCGAGCCTGGGGCAAGAGGAGATGTGAGCACATGGGGAAGGAGCTGATGTCCCTGGCACTGAGCTGGAGAAGCAGGTGGATTACATCCCTTCCAGGGAGCTGCTGGTCCAAGAAAGGGTCTCATCCACAGAGGCTTGCACCTCCTCACTCTGCAGAGACTTGCTCAGCCTGTACATAGTGGTTTCCCAGTAGAGAATGAGGAGACCAAACCATTGAAGATGTCGTATGCTTTGTTTCTCCTGCTTGGGATCACTTGCTTTCCTGCAGGCAGCTTCCTTCCCCCTTCCCCTCTCTTCAAGCAGCTGCAGAGCACAGCTCATGCACCAGCACCAGCTCCTTTCCACCTGGAAGTGACCATGTCCCCGCGGCAGCTCATGGGGCAAAAGAGACACAGCAGGAGGTGATTGTTCTAGGAGGACACCTCACCCCACACCATCTTCCTCAACACGACCTTTAGCATGAGAACACAAATTGTCCAAGCTGAGTACTCTTCCCCCAGTTAGCAAATGCTCTGGCTCTCACCTAGCACGGGGGAAAAACATCTTTGTTGGGTCAGGCTTAGTTCTCCCTCCTCTCCTACAAAAAACTCTAGAACATCTCTGACTGATGTGGTGACACAACCGCTCTCCCATTATCCAGTCAGTGATGGTTATGGGCTGTGCAGGGTTTGGTTCCTGCCTCTGCTGCCTGCAGAGCTCCCAATCCATTGCACGGGGTAGTGGGGATTCACTGGGATGATGAGGTTTGTCTTTGCTTTACATATGGATGGAAGATGTTGGGCCATGTTTCTCCTTTTGAATGCCAGGTGGAGATGACAGCAGCACTTCGATTCAGCTTGTCTTGCTCAACGGGCCAGGACAGGGTTCAGCCTCGTGCTTTCCTCACACTGTTGCTCACTGCTGTTCCAACCGGGCTGCAAGGAGAGGAGGGAGAGAGCAGGGAGGGAAAAAAGGTCCATCATTTTCCTTCAACCTCAAAGATTCGTGATTTAGGAAAGGGAAGTGAGGGGCTGATCAGTGACCCCAGCTGAGCAGCCAGGCTCAGTGCTAGGAAAACACAGTGGATCAATGGAAAAGAGCATCTTTTGAAGCAGCAACCCTCCCATCCCAACATGCATGGAATGAAAGCTTTTGCTCAGAATCAGCCTTGAAAAAAACCCAGCGTGTGAGCTGTACCTGGTTACTGTAGTCTGGCATCCTCCACATCTGTGTAATGGCTGTTCTCCTGGAGGGACAAGGGAACCAGAAACAGTCAATCACCACGTGTCCCTCCTGCCCTGCCCGGGACGCTGTGACACCTCAGGTGTAGTGACCAGAAGGAGAGCTTGCACACTGTGAGCACTGTCACGTTGCTCAGTGTGGTGGAGGAGCTACAAGACACACCTGATGTGGACATTGGGTGTGCTCTGGCTGTGGTTTCTGGCAGATCCAGATCCAGGCAAAACCAAAAATTTCCTCTGCTTCCTTATTCTGGAAGGGCTCTGCCAAAC